GCCGCCATCTTTACTAACGGCAAGTCGACTCCATTTCTCATGTTTCGGATGCAAGGAAAGAAGGAAGTTAGATGTCCCGCCGCCATCTTTACTGATGGTAGAGCGGAGCGTCGCCATCTTTACTGATGGCAAGTCGACGCCATTTCTCATGTTTCGCATGCAAGGAAAGCAGGAAGTTCGAAGCCCCGCCGCCATCTTTGCTAAGGGTAGAGCGGAGCGTCGCCATCTTTGCTGACGGCAACTGGACGCCATTTCTCACGCTTCGTTTTAAGGCTGGATCCTTTCGAGTTGTGGGCGGGGCCCAGATTAGCATACCGCTGCGGGATAGGCGGAGAGGAAAGCAGGAAGTTAGAAGCCCCGCCCCAAGAGCTTATATATTTACATCCAATGGCTTGCTGTCTCTTTTTGAGGCGGAACTGGCTGGGCGCCATCTTGAGGCCTACCTGATTTCCATTTGTAAACAAACACCCTTAGATTAGAAAACATTTCTCTTTAAACCGGTTTAAATTGGTTTTTGGTTTGTATTGATTTGATGCAATAGCCAATAGCTGTCACTGCTAATCAGATATTGATGAATGGCATTTACTTCATGCATTGCATTATTTCTGTCACCTCTTTAACAAGAGGCTCCCAAGGCAATAAATTTAATTAATCATCGATATATATATATATATATATGTGTGTGTGTGTGTGTGTATAGTAAAAGTAAAGGTATTCCTCTCGCATTTAAGTGCAGTCGTGTCTGACTCTGGGACTGGTGCTCATCTCAATTTCTAAACCAAAGAGGCAGCGTTGTCCATAGACACCTCCAAGGTCATGTGGCCAGCATGTCTGCATGGAGTGCTGTTACCTTCCCGCCGGAGCGGTGCCTATTAATCTAGTCACATTTGCATGTTTTCAAACCGCTCGGTTGGCAGAAGCTGGGCCTAATAGCAGGAGCTCACCTTGATCCCTGGATTTGAACTGCCACAGTAGTCCACGCTCTGGTTACGTCCTGTATAGACTACTGCAACACTCTCTACGTGGGGTTGCCTTTGAAGACTGCTCGGAACCTTTAAATGGTCCAGCGTTCGGCAGCCAGGTTGCTAACCGGAACGGCACACAACTCCTCTGTTGCGCCAGCTCCACTGGCTGCCAGTCTGCTACCAGGCACAATTCAATGGTTCTGGCCCATCATTGATATATATATATATGTATATATAGTAAAAGTAAAGGTATTCCTCTCAATCCCTCTCCAATGCCAGAAATACAGCTTAATATTAGAAAATGTGGACCATTTCTGCTCCCTTGGCAGCCACCTCTCCACCAAAATCAACATTGACACTGAAATACAACACGGCCTAAGCTCTGCAAGTACAGCTTTTTCCAAATGAAGCAGAGAGTGTTCGAGGACTGGGTCATCCGTAGGGAAACCAAGGGGCTTGTTTATAAAGCTATTGCCCTCCCAACCCTGCTCTTAGCCTGCGAGAGGTGGACTGTCTACAGACATCACATGCAACTCCAGGAACGATTCCATCAGCGCTGCTTCCAGAAAATCCTGCAAATCTCTTGGGAAGACAAGCCGACTAATGTCAGCGTGCCAGAAGAAGCAAAGACCACCAGCATTGAAGCGATGGTCCTCCGCCATCAACTCTGCTGGACCGGCCACGTTGTCCGATCACTGTCTCCCAAAATAGTTGCTCTACTCCAAACTCAAGAACAGAAAACAGAATGTTGGTGGGCAGGAAAAGAGATTGAAAGATGGGCTCAAAGCCAAGCTTAAAAACTCTGGCATAGACAGAGAACTGGGAAGCCCTGGCCCTTGAGCATCCAGCTGGAGGTCAACTGTGACCAGCAGTGCTGTAGAATTTGAAGAGGCACAAATGGAGGGCGAAAGAGAAAAAGTGCCAAGAGGAAGGTGCGTCAAGCCAACCCCACCTTCCACCTGGAAACCAATGCCCTCACTGTGGGAGAAGATGCAGGTCAAGTATAGGGCTCCACAGTCATCTACGGATGTTGGATTACAATCCTACTCAAACAATGAGTGATTGCCTAAGTAAGTAAGTATACATACATATCCTGGAGAGAAGTGACGAGTGGAATGCCATCAGCAGGGTTCCCCCCTGGGCCCAGTCCTGTTCAAGATCGTTATGAATGACTTAGATGAAGGGTGAGAAGGCATGATCATCAAGTTTGCAGATGGGACTACATTGGGAGGGATTGCCAATACTCCAGAAGTCAGGAGCAGAATCCGAAACAATCTTCACAGATGAGAGAGATGATGGGCCAAAACTCACAAAAGGAAGTTCAACAGGGACAAGTGCAAGAGACTCGGGCAGAGACAAGGAAAGGCAGAGACAGAATGGGGGACAAGGCCTGGCATCTCCACCTATGAACCGACGAGGACGTTAAGATCGTCCGGGGAGGCCCTGCTCTCGGTCCCGCCTGCGTCGCAGGCGCGGCTGGTGGGGACGAGGGACAGGGCCTTCTCGGTGGTGGCCCCTCGGCTATGGAATGCCCTACCCGTAGACATCAGGCAGGCCCCTTCGTTGCTGGAGTTCCGGAGGAAGGTCAAGACGTGGCTCTATGAACAGGCGTTTGGTCAACAAGGCAACTGAACTCTTGAAGACAGTATAAATGAACAAAGGAATGGTAGAAGGAATATGAGAACGGAATCTGATTTTTATTGAGGCGTTGATGACTATGTTGTTTGTCTTGTATTGTCTGTCGAGTATGTTGTGTTTTAACTAATTGTTATTGTTATAAATTGCATTGTAAACCGCATTGAGTCGCCGAATTAGGCTGAAAAATGCGGTATAAAAATAAAGCAAATAAATAAATAAATAAATAAATAATTGAGAGCAGGAAAAATATCCCGGAGTCCTTCTGGGGAGGAAGGGGCACCTGAGCCAGGAATCTCATGTGGCAGCAAAAAAAAAGCCAATGGGATTTTGGCCTGCATCAATAGGAGCCTAGTGCCTAAGGGAAGTCATGCTCTCCCTCTACTCTGCCTTGTTCAAACCACTTTACCTGGAATTACACTCTGTCCAATTCTGGGCACTACAATTAAAGGGAGATGTTGACTCTAAGCTGGAATACTGTATCCAAAGGAGGGTGACTCAAAGGATCAAGGGTCTGGGGAACAAGCCCTATGAGGAGTGGCTGGACATGTTTAGCCTGCAGAAGCGAAGGCTAAGAGGAGACAGGATGAGGGCCATGGATCAAGAGGTGAGGGGGAGTCATAGGGAGAAGGGAGCAGGCTTGGAGACTAGGACACAATGGAGCCATGGCTTCAAGCTACAGGAAAGAAAGGAGATTCCACCTCAATATGAGATCTTCCTGACTGTGAGAGCTGTTCAGCAGTGGAACCCTCTGCTCCAGAGTATGGTGGAAGTAGGCTCCTTCTTTGGAGGCTTTTAAACAGAGGCTGGATGGCCATCTGCGGGGGTGCTTTGAATGCGATTTTCCTGCTTCTTGGCAAAATGGGATTGGACTAGTTTGGACCTTGTGTATGTGTGTGTATGTATATGTATACACACACATACATATTACACACACACACACACACACATATAAATACATACACTAGCCATCCCCTGCCACGTGTTGCTGTGGCCCCATCTGTGTATATGTTTTTTGTGTTTACATATATGTGTATAATATGTGTGTATATATTTCTGTATATATGTATTTGTGTAATTATGCACATGCATTGTAATGTATTTTTGTTTTTTGGCTTTTTAAGTCCCTTACACTATGTTTTTCAATGTTTTTATGAGTGATGGTCACTTGTTGGCCTGACAGGTGTCCTGTGTCCAAATTTGGTGACAATTTGCCCAAGGGTTTTTTTTAGTTATGTTAATCCCACAAACAAACATTACATTTTTATTTATATATATATAGAGAGAGAGCTTATTTTATCTGATTTGTCGTTGATCCATTCCTTCGGGCTTCACACAAATCTACTATTCCCCAAAATATACAATTTATATTGTATATTTTATGTGTGTGTGTGTATACACACACATATATATGTATATTGTGTGTGTATATATATATATATTTAAGCTTCAGATGTGCTGTTGGTCAGGTAGGTAGCTCTGAAAAAATCATTGTAAGTACGATTGAGATATAATTGAGGATTGAGTTATATAGATAAAAAGCTGACTGAGATAAATAGATATAGATAGGCAATTGAGAATTGAGATATAATTGACTTATAGATAGCAACTGAGATATAGAAAAGTTAATTAAGTAACTAAGTCATATAGATAGAAAGAAAGATAGAGAAGCTTATTGAGTCATAGATAGATATTGAGTTATTGAATATTATTGAGCATTACTTCATCTCCAAAGCTAACCTTGAGCTATAGATAGGGAAAAACCTGTTTTTTCTAACCATAGCAGCTCAGGGTTAGGGTGAAAGGATCCCAGGATATTTTCTACCATTTGGGGAAGAGTACCTCAGTAATTGAAGAAAAAGGGAAAGAAAGAACTTCTTTATGGTTTCACCAATTGACTTTTGTTTGTAACTTTGACAAGCTGTGCCAAGTCTGCAAGGACTTTGATAAATAAATATTCTGTTTTGATGTTCCAAACCTGAAGTGGCCTCAGTTGCGGAGAATTTTTGAGCTTCTAAAGAAAGATCCCCGCGGTCCGGCCAGACAAAGAGAGAAGCACATCTTAGTTTTAATTTTATAGGATCTGGGTGTGACGGCACAGTAATATGTATATATACACACAGAGACACACATTAAAATACTCTTAAAAACTGCCCAAAGAAGGGTTAGAAAGCCTGCCGTGGCTCAATGCTATGGAATCTAAGGAGTTGTAGTCCACCGAGCGCAGTGAAGGATAAAAAACCTTGGAAAACTACAACTCCCAGGAGCTTAATAATAATTATAATAATAATAATGACAGCATTGAGCTAATAATGCCAAACCGTATTAAATCTACAGTGCAGACACACACACACACACACACACACACACCCATTCTGCATAGATCAAGAGAAACAAAGATTAAGTTTTCAAACACTGGTTTTAATTAAGTCCCAACAAGCTCCTTTATTTCCCCTCCCCGGCTATCTACTTAACCTTTTGAAAACATGATTGAAGTGCAACGTGCGAGAGGAAATGGGCGTTTTCCTGGACGACGGAGGAAGAGGAGAAGCGGAGATGCCTTGTGCGGATGGCTTCTGGAAGACCTCGAGATGGACCACCTTTTCTTCGGGGTTTTCTTGTGTGCAGCTTGTTGTGGAGGGAAGGGAGGACACGCAAGGCGACGGCGCCCGCTTTAGTAGTCCGGGCCTTCCTTCTTCAGCTTGCTGTAGTCGGTGGTCACAGCGTAGAACTAGGAGAAACGGGGGGAAAGGCAAGATCGATTTGGCTCAAAGAAAGGTCAACAACAAAGGCATGGGCAAACTATGTCTCTCCAGGTGTTTTGGACTGCAACTCCCACCATTCCTCACAGCCTCAGGCCCTTCTTTTCCCCCCTCAGCCGCTTAAGCGGCTGAGGGGGGAAAGGAAAGGGCCTGAGGCTGTGAGGAATGGTGGGAGTTGCAGTCCAAAACACCTGGAGAGACATAGTTTTCCCATGCCTCCTCTAACATACCCTAAACAGGCAGCAACTCGAATGGCCAAATCACAAAAGGTGTGCCTTTGCCCCTGTGCATGACATTCAGCAGCAAATATTTGTTTCGGTTTCAAGGTTTTGATAACCGAGGTGTGCATTAGATTCAACGGCATGTTGAGACTCAAGAAAATATATGACTTTTGGGAGTTGCAGTTCACAACATTCCCCCAAATCTATTCCAAATCGTAATGCTTCAAAGCTCCATACAAAAATATATGTGACTCGAGAGGCCTTTCCCTATACAGCGTTCCCTCGCTACTTCATGGGGTTGGGGAAAGGGAATTGATTTTGCATTTGGGAGTTGTAGTTGCTGGGATTTATAGTTCACCTACAATCAAAGAGCATTCTGAGCCCCACCAACGATGGAATTCAATCAATCTTGGCACACAGAACTTCCCTGATCAACAGAAAATACTGGAAGGGTTTGCTGGGCATTGACTTGAGTTTGGGAGTTGTAGTTCACCTACATGCTCTCTGGATGTAGGTGAACTACAACTCCCAAACTCAAGGTTAATGCCCACAGTGGACTCAAGCAGTGATGGATCTAGAACAATCTTGGCATGAATATTCAATATGGGATTTATAGTGGAAGGGTTTGCTGGGCATTGACCTTGAGTTTGGGAATTGTAGTCCACCTCCAGCCAGAGAGCACTGCGGACTCAAACAATGATGGATCTGGACTGCACTTGGCACCAATACTCAATATGCCCAAACGTGAACACTGGTGGAGTTTGGGGAAAATAGACATTGACATTTGGGAGTTGTTGTTTCTGGGATTTATAGTTCACCTACAAGCAAAGAGCATTCTGAACTCCATCAACGATGGAATTGAAGCAAACTTGGCACACAGAACTCCTGATGCTGAACTGGAAGGGTTTGCCGGGCATTGACCTTGAGTTTGAGAATTATAGTTCACCTACATCCAGAGAGCACTGCGGACTCAAACAGTGATGGATCTGGACCAAACTTGGCACGGATATTCAATATGCCCAAATGTAAACACTAGTGGAGTTTGGGGAATATAGAAATTGGCATTTGGGAGTTGTAGTTTTCATGAACAACAGAAAATACTGTTTTCTGATGGTCTTTGGTGACCCCCCAGAGGTCCTGACCCCCAGGTTGAGAAACACTGATTTAGATCAATGTATTGTCAAAGACTTTCAAGGCCAGAATCACTGGGTTGCTGTGAGTTTTCCATGTTCCAGAAGCATTTTCTCCTGACGTTTTGCCTGCATCTATGGAAGGCATCCTGAGAGGTAGTGAGGTCTATTTAGATCTCCCGTCTTTATTTAGATCTCCCGTCGCCTCCTATTTCTTGATGTTTACATTTGCTCCGTGCCTTTCTAGCAAACAGAGCCAGACGTCAGCTTTTAAACAAGTCCAAATAAGGGAGAAATGCTCCTTTTGGCAAAGAGACGAGGATGCCTTCAATACTACGGCCGGGGAAGAGGGGCCTGCGCTTATAGCAAGGCCAAAGCCGATTCTGCATTACGAGGAAAGCAGTGTCTTGAACAAGGGAAGACTGAGGCAGAAGAAAGCGTATTATTATTATTATTATTATTATTATTATTATTATTATCATCTATATAAATAAAAATGTAATGTTTGTTTGTGGGATTAACAGAACTCAAAAACCACTGGACGAATTGCCACCAAATTTGGACACAAGACATCTAACAACCCAATCCATGTCCTTCACTAAAAAAAAATGATTTTGTCATTTGGGAGTTGTAGTTGCTGGGATTTATAGTTCACCTACAATCAAAGAGCATTCTGAACCCCACCAACGATGGAATTGAACCAAACTTGGCACAGAGTTCTCTCATGACCAATAGAAAATACTGGAAGGGTTTGGTGGGCAGTGTCCTTTGGTTTTGGAGTTGTAGTTCACCTACATCCAAAGATGACTGTGGACTCAAACAATAATGGATCTGGACCAAACGCTACACAAATACTCAATATGCTCAAAAGTTTGCTGGAGTTTGGGGGAAATAGAATCTTGACATCTGGGAGTTGTAGTTGCTGGGATTTATAGTTCACCTACAGTCAAAGAGCATTCTGAACCCCACCGACGATAGAATTGGGCCAAACCTCCCACACAGAACCCCCATGTGGGCTACAGCAACACGTGGCAAGGGACTGCTAGTTATTATTATAATTCAAAACAGAACAAGATGAGTTCACTGCAGACACTCTTCTGGCTGTTGTATTGGATTCACACGTCGGACACTTCCCAAGTGTCTAGAACTGTGTGATGTATCGGCAAATGATGCGTGCAGATCCCAGTAAGGTGGCCTTTTGCAGATGACAGGTGGTAATTTTGACAGCGCTGATTGTGTTTAGGCGCAGGCCAAGGTCTTTAGGCACTGTACCCAGTGTGCCGATCAGCATTGGGACCACCTTGACTGGCTTGTGCCAGAGTCTTTCCTCTTATTATATTATTATTAGATACACAACAAGGCTGGTACACAGCAAACAAAATCACTCTGCTAGCTGTTGTATTTGATCACATGTCGGACACTTCCCAAGTGTCTAGGACTGTGATGTATTTGCAAATAATGCGTGCAGATCAGAGTAGGGTGGCCTTTTGCAGCTGAGAGATGTTAATTTTGTCAGCGCCGATTGTTTTTAAGTGCAGGCCAAGGTCTTTAGGCACTGCACCCAGTAAGCCAATACTTGTTTGTACCCTGCTCTTCTCTCAAGATCAGGTATGAGGAAACTTCAGGCATCCAGATGTTTTGGACTTCAACACCCAGAATTCCTAACAGCCTCAGGAAAGCCTGGAAAACTCACAGCAACCCAGTGGTTCCGGCCTTGAAAGTCTTTGACAATACGCCGATCTAAATCAGTGTTTCTTAACCTGTTGGTCGGGACCCCTGGGGGGGGGGGTTGCAAAGAGGTGTCAGAGGGGTTGCTAAAGACCACCAGAAAATACAGTATTATATATTTTATATTACATGTAATATTATAGTATAATGGTATGGTACAATATAGTATGGTAATAATGTAATATTTACGTATTGCTTGTGAGAAGGACAGCATATAAATATCGTAAATAAATAACACTTTTCAACTTTTGAACAAGATGAGTCTTAAAACAGTAAATGACTTTGTAAACAGCCCTGAATCTTGGAATGGGAAGAAAACAGTAAAAATACAATGGTAACGCTTCTAATAATTGACACATCCGATGGAAAAGGTATGGCAGACTTCAAAGGCAATTCTACCATTTTAAGAGCTCATTTCCAGGACAATCAGAACGAGAATTGGGATACTTTTGCACCGTACCTTGTACTGGTCATTGGGGCCCAGCTTGTTCCAAGGCTCGGGGTTATTCTTTCTGTCCCAGCTGCACAGAAAAAGGTCAGGGAAAAGAGCAATGAATACAGATGTTTGGCACAGGATATAACCTGCTGGCCTTTCAGTTATGGTCTTACTGCCTTATAAGAAATGGGCCAACTTGGGCCCTCCCGTTGTTTTGGACTTCAACTCGCACAATTCCTAACAGCCAGTAGGCTGTTAGGAATTGTGCAAGTTGAAGTCCAAAACACCGGGAGGGCCCAAGTTGGTGTAGACGCATTGTGAGAACGGGATCAAGTATTGGCTTGAAGCTACAGTTGTCTCAATTTCACTTTTTTGAGAGGAGTGCAATAGATAAGCTATATGAATAAAAGCATAGGTTTTGTTCTAAACAGGAGCTGCTGCAAAATATGTCAGAAATATTAAAAATTAACTAGGTGAGACCAGCGTTGAAAGGGTTAAATGGATGCAGTGACTTAGAGAAGCTGCGGTTCAATATAAGCAGACTTGTCTGTTGATTAGTAACGCCTCAGTCTGAGAGAGCTCTCAGTGTGGGAGAAGCCTCTACGTGTGAAAGATAGAAACATAGACACAGTCTGAGAGAGCTCTCAGTGTGAGAGAAGCCTCTACGTGTGAGATAGAAACAGACACAGCCTGAGAGAGCTCTCAGTGTGTGAGAAGCCTCTACGTGTGAGATAGAAACAGACAGTCTGAGAGAGCTCTCAGTGTGAGAGAAGCCTCTACGTGTGAGATAGAAACAGACACAGTCTGAGAGAGCTCTCAGTGTGAGAGAAGCCTCTACGTGTGAAAGATAGAAACATAGACACAGTCTGAGAGAGCTCTCAGTGAGAGAAGCCTCTACGTGTGAGATAGAAACAGACACAGTCTGAGAGAGCTCTCAGTGAGAGAAGCCTCTACGTGTGAAAGATAGAAACACACACAGTCTGAGAGAGCTCTCAGTGAGAGAAGCCTCTACGTGTGACAGATAGAAACATACACAGTCTGAGAGAGCTCTCGGTGTGAGAGAAGGCTCTACGTGTGAAAGATAGAAACATAGACACAGTCTGAGAGAGCTCTCGGTGTGAGAGAAGCCTCTACGTGTGAAAGATAGAAACATACACACAGTCTGAGAGCTCTCAGTGTGAGAGAAGCCTCTCTGTGTGAAAGTCTGCCTCAGTGAGAGAATAGGCCTCATAGTTAGTAGGCCTGATTGTGAGGTAGGCCTTAGTCTGTGAGAGAAGGCTTCACAGTGTGAGGTAGGCCTCGGTATGAAAAGGCCTTGTGTGTGAAGGTTAAACTTTATTTGTGTTGTGGAAACTCTGTCCTTATAAATAGTGCAACCATATTATTTTGCTATAAAGAAAAGCCTTCTAAAGAAGATATAACATTAGTAAAGGTTTCCCCTAATATTAAGTCTAGTCATGTCCAACTGGGGGTTGGTCCTCATCTCCATTTCTAAGCCGAAGAGCGGACATTGTCCGTAGACTCCTCCAAGGTCATGTGGCCAGCATCACTGCATAGAGCACCGTTACTTTCCCACAGAAGCGATACCTATTGATCTACTCACATTTGCATGTTTTCAAACTGCCAAGTTTGGCAGAAGCTGGGTCTAAGGGTGAAAGCTCACTCCACTCCCCTGATTTGAACCACCGACCTTTCGGTCAGCAAGTTCAGCAGCTCAGCGGTTTAACCTGCTGTGCCAACAGGGTAAAAACATTTGTCTGTTTGTTTTTGTTCTTGTTCTCACTTTTGGACATCGCTGGTGCAGCCGCTGATAAGGTACTCTGTTGTACATTTATCAGGAAGGTGTTTAGTTAATAACTCAGCAAAATACTTGCCAGACGTCGGGGTTTCGGAGAGCGAGGCGCATGATGTAGAGGGCAGCCCCGGTCCCTCCAGCGCCAATGAAGATGAAGAGAGGAATCAACTGCAGGGAAAACAACAAGATTCCAGCGTAAAAACCAGGAACATGACTCAACTGTGGAACGAACTACACTATGTAACAACATTGAATGTTTGCCTTTTATGTTGTAAGCTGCCCTGACTCCCCATGGGGAGATAGGGCAGGATCTAAATAAAGTTTGAATGATTGATCTACAGGTTTTTTTCCATATGGAGGTCACACACTCTCAACCTCAGGATGAAAAAGGCGCTGACGAAGATCTGCAAAAAAGCCAAAATTGCACAAAACTGAGCAAGGAGAAGCTTTGACAAGCTTTAAAAGAAAAATCAATTGTGAGAGTTGAAATCCAAAACACCTGGAGGGAGGGCCAAAGCTGTACCACAAAGCTGCACTATAAACTCACCTCTTCCTACTGCCAAATACAACACTCCAAAAGAAAGGAAGGAAATTCTTGATAGATATTCTAGGTCTATTTAGATACGTATTTTTGGGGTTAGCCATTATATGTAGCAGCAAATAGTGAAAGGACCAAGGCAGTGATATCTCCAGCCCATGCCCTGTTCGGATATCAGCCAGCACGTCAACGATTTAAATCAAGAAATAGTTTTCTAAGATCTACAGAGACACTTGCAGGAACACCTCAGCAAGCAAGAGTCCAAAAGTGGCAGGCTCAAACCCAGAACCTCAATCAATGGCTGATACCAAATGAGTCACACAGAAGACGGGGCGACTTGGAAGGCACTGAACAGACTATGTCTGGTATCACGAGATGCAGAGCCCATCTTCAGAAATGGGGCCACAAAGTAGAGTCCACAACATGCGAGTACGGAGAAAAGCAAACCACAGGCCACTTATTACAATGCAGCCTGAGCCCTGCCACATGCACAATGGAGAACCTTCTCATAGCCACACCAGAGGCACTCCAAGTGGCCAGCTATTGGTCAAAGGACATTTGATATAATGCCAAGTTTTCAAACTGTGGTTTTTTGTTGTTGTTGTTGCTTTTTAAATAAATTATAACTGGTTTGCTCCTGATACGATAAACAATAAATATTATATGTTTATTTGATGTTGTTTTACTCATTATTTTGATTTGGTTTGCTTGTTATATTATGGCATTGAATGTTTACCATTTTTAAGTTGCAAATAAATTGTTATTGTTATTATTAGAAACACAAGATGAGTCCACAGCAGACAAGATCACTCTGCTGGCTGTTGCACTGGATCACACGTCGGACACTTCCCAAGTAATAGGACTGTGTGATGTATCGGCGAATAATGCGTGGCCTTTTGCAGTTGGCAGATGGTAATTTTGTTTAAGTGCAGGCCAAGGTCTTTAGGCACTGCACCCAGTGTGCTGATCACCACTGGGACCACCTTGATTGGCTTTTGCCAGTCTTTGCGGTTCGATCTTTATTATTATTATTTATTTGAAACATAACAAGATGAGTCCATAGCAGACACTCTGCTGGCTGTTGTATTGGATCACACATCGGACACTTACCAAGTGCCTAGGACTATGAGATGTATTGGCGAATAATGTGTTCAGATGCCAGTAAGGTGGCTTTCTGCAGCTGACAGATGGTAATTTTGTGTTTAAGTGCAGGCCAAGGTCTTTAGGCACTGCACCCAGTGTGCCGATCACCACTGGGACTACATTTACTGGTTTGTGCCAGAGTCTTTGCAGTTCGATCTTTAAATCCTCTTATCGTGTCAGCTTTTTCAGTTGTTTCTCTTCCATCCTTCTGTCACCTGGGATTGCAACATCGACAATCCATACTTTGTTTTTTAACACAATTGTGAGGTCAGAAGTATTGTGCTCCAGAACTCTGTCTGTCTGAATTTGGAAGTCCCAGAGGAGTTTGGCGTGTTCATTCTCTGTAACTCTTTCCAGCTTGTAATTCCACCAGTTCTTTGTCTCAGGCACTTGGCACAAGTTCCAGTGAATCATCTGAGCAACGGTGTTGTGCCTCTGCTTGTAGTCTGTCTGCGTGATCTTCTTGCAGCAGCTGAGGATGTGATCTATTGTTTCATCTGCTTCCTTGCAGAGTCTACACTTGGGATCTGTTGCTGACTTTTCAATTCTGGCTTTATTTATTTTATTTATTTATTTGGTAGTTTTGTATACCAGTCTTCTCACTTCCATTCTAGGGACTCGGGCCGGTTTTCAACATCAATATTACAGACCGTCATTAAAACATCATATTTCTAAATCATACTAGAATCATAGAATCATAGAATCAGAGTTGGAAGAGACCTCATGGGCCATCCAGTCCAACCCCAGGAATATTGCATTCAAATCACCCCTGACAGATGGCCATCCAGCCTCTGCTTAAAAGCTTCCAAAGAAGGAGCCTCCACCACACTCCGGGGCAGAGTTCCACTGCTGAACGGCTCTCACAGTCAGGAAGTTCTTCCTAATGTTCAGATGGAATCTCCTCTCTTGTAGTTTGAAGCCATTGTTCCATTGCGTCCTAGTCTCCAAGGCAGCAGAAAACAAGCTTGCTCCCTCCTCCCTGTGGCTTCCTCTCACATATTTATACATGGCTATCATATCTCCTCTCAGCCTTCTCTAAAACATTAAAACATATCTCCTCTCAGCCTTCTCTAAAACATTAAAACATTGAAACAATTAAAATGGCAAAAATACAATCATATGATTACTGTGGTCAGTCGTCATCAAAGTCATTATTCGTCGTCATCCATCCATATCACAGGATCATGGCTCATGCGTTGAATGCCAATCCCCAAAGCCAGGTTTTCACCTGCTTCCTGAACGTTAAGATCGAAGGGGCAGTTCTGATCTCCAGTGGAAGGGAGTTCCAGAGTCGAGGGGCCACCACCGAGAAGGCCCTGTCTCTCGTCCCCACCAGCCGCGCCTATGAGGCCGGAAGGACCGAGAGCAGGGCCCCTCCAGACGATCTTAGTAATCTTGATGGCTCATCGGGGAGGATACGTTTGGACTGGTAAATTGGGCCGGAGTCGTTTTGGGCATTGATGGCCTTGGTTCGAATGGCTTGTTCTTGGGCTGCCAGAATCAGGCCCTCCTTTGTCTCCTTTTTCAGAATCCCATTTGTGAGTTACAGCCATGTTTTTGTCAATTTGGCTCTCAATTTTTGCTAGAAACTGTCCATGGAGAGCCTTCTTTAGCCAGTTTCCTCTTCTGCTCTGGATTGTGTTTTTATAGTATTCAATCTCTGTCTTTAGTAGTATTATTATTATTATTCTACAACCCACCAGCAGAAATAAAAGCTCTGAGCTGCTTCGTGCACTAACCAAAGACCGAATTCCCCAGCAAGTGTGTCCAGATGTTGTTGAAGGGCCAAAGTTTGCCCTACACCTGGTGTGTTTTATGAGTTGCTTATAAACGTCCTGCTCCTATTTTATCTCATTATAGTTTGTTAACTGTTTTTATCCTGAATATGTGGCCCGCCCATTGTCATCACTATCGTGATTGTGTTTATTTTATTATTTTTTTCTTTTTAATGTCATTTTGATAATGTTGTTGTTGTCTTATTGTATATGCTTTGATTTTATTGCTGTAATATGTTGTCCGGGCTTGGCCCCATGTAAGCCACTCCGAGTCCCCATCGGGGAGATGGTGGCAGGGTAGAAATAAAGTTTATTATTATTGTATTGTCGAAGGCTTTCATGGCTGGAATCAATAGGTTCTTGTGGGTTTTTTCGGGCTATATGGCCATGTTCTAGAGGCATTTTCTCCTGACGTTTCGCCTGCATCTATAGCAAGCATCCTCAGAGGTAGTGAGGTCTGTTGGAACTAGGACAATGGGTTTATATATCTGTGGAATGACTGGGGTGGGGCACAGAGCTCTTCTCTGCTGGAGCTAGGTGTGGATGTTTCAACTGACCACCTTGATTAGCATTTGAAGGCCTGGCTGAGCCTGGGAGAATCTTTTGTTGAGAGGTGTTAAGATGTGCTTGCTTGTTTCCTCTCTGTTGTTTTGCTGTTGTAATTTTGGAGTTTTTTAATACTGGTAGCCAGATTTTGTTCATTTTCATGGTCTCCTTTCTGTTGAAATTGTCCACATGCTTGTGGATTTCAATGGCTTCTCTGTGTAGTCTGACATGGTGGTTGTGAGAGTGGTCCAGCATTTCTGTGTTCTCAAATAATATGCTGTGTCCAGGTTGGTTCATCAGGTGCTCTGCTCTGGCAGACTTCTCTGGTTGAAGTAGTCTGCAGTGCCTTTCATGTTCCTTGATTCGTGTCTGGGCAATACTGCTGCGTTTGCTGGTCCCTAGGTAGACTTGTCCACAGCTGCATGGTATACTTGTTTTCTGCTTCCATGGAGATTAGGATGCAAAGGAACAATGATTCCATGGAGATTAGGATTCAAACTACAAGAGAGGAGATTCCATCTGAACATGAGGAAGAACTTCCTGACTGTGAAAGCCATTCAGCAGTGGAACTCCCTGCCCCGGAGTGTGGTGGAGGCTCCTTCTTTGGAAGCTTTTAAACAGAGGCTGGATGGCCATCTGTCAGGGGTGCTTTGAATGCAATATTCCTGCTTCTTGGCAGATGGGGTTGGACTGGATGACCCAGGAGGTCTCTTCCAACTCTAGGAGTCTATGATTATTATTATTCCTCATTGGGTATCAATGACTAAGAGTCATAATGAGCCCACCAACTGGGAACACCACACTGTGCTGGCTCCCCAATATGTTCATTCTAGTGCCTGCCATTGCCTTCCTTCTGAGGCTGAGAGAGTGTCACCCAATGGGTTCCCATGACTGAGCAGAGATAATAACAACAACTAAACAATATAATATACAAGAATATAATTAATAACAGATCCAAAATATATAATATAATAGCAATAATAATAATATAATACAGTGTTAGTATTATATCCCAGCCTTGGGCCAAGTTGGGCCCTTCAGGCGTTTTGGACTACAACTCCCACAATTCCTAACAGCCGTACCGGCTGTTAGGAATTGTGGGAGTTGTAGTCCAAAACGCCTGAAGGGCCCAACTTGGCGCAGGCTTTGCCCCACCGACTAGGCCGCGCTGCCTCCACTCACGCTGGGGTGCTTCCTAGCCTGGCTGGCCATGAGGCGGAACATGGTGGCGACACACGACAAACACGCAGCTCCACGCGAATAACCTTCTCCGTCTCCTTCTGTCGCCTTTCTCCGCGGCGTTTCCTTTTGTGCGCATGCGCACAGGCCCAAAGTCACGCCCCGCAGGCCAGGCAGTTCTGTAGACACACCCAAAGAGGACCTCTACCTCCTTTCATTTCAACAGGCACTGCGTTAGACGACTAAAAGTGATTCCCTTTGCTGCAGTTGAAGCGCCAACCCTCAGCGCATGCGCAGAGGAGCTTCTGAGCTTTGTTGCCTTCTCCTCCAGGTGGCGCTCGCCTCAAGTTGCTCAGGCTCTTCTGCGCATGCGTATCATTCCTAATGAGGGAAATTGGACCGGAAGCAGCTCCCCGGCGGCCATTTTTGCCAGGAGTGTGTGGAGAAGCTAGCCTGAGCGCCAATCTTCTGCGCATGCGTACTTGTGAGCCTTGTTGCTTTGCCCTCCAGGTGGCGCTCGCCTCAAGGTGCTCAGGCTCTTCTGCGCATGCGTATCCTTCCTTCTCCTCAGGGAAACTGGAGCGGAAGCGGCCATTTTTGTCCCTGGCGTTTGCCAAAAGTGTGCGGCGAAGCGAAGCTGAGCGTCAATCCTCCGCGCATGCGCAGAGGAGTTTCTGAGCATTGTTGCCTTCTCCTCCAGGTGGCGCTCGCCTCAAGCTGCTCAGGCTTTTCTGCGCATGCGTATCATTCTTTCTCGAGGGAAATTGGTGTGGAGAAGCAGCCTGAGCGCCAACCATCAGCGCATGCGCAGAGGAGCTTCTGAGCCTTGTTGCCTTGCCCTCCAGGTGGCGCTCGCCTCAAACGGCTCAAGCTCTTCTGCGCATGCGTATCATTCCTTCTTGAGGGAAACTGGACCGTAAGCGGCCATTTTTGTCCCTGGCGTTTKYCAGGAGTGTGTGGAGAACCGAGGCTGAGCGCCAATCCTCCGCGCATGCGCAGAGAAGCTTCTGAGCATTGTTGYCTTCTCCTCCAGGTGGCGCTCGCCTCAAGCACCTGCGCCACGCTCAGGCTCTTCTGCGCATGCGTATCATTCCTTATAATGAGGGAAASTGAGCATGCGCAAAGGAGCTTCTGAGCATTGTTGCCTTCTCCTCCAGGTGGCGCACGCCTCAAGCTGCTCAGGCTCTKCTGCGCATGCGTATCATTCCTTMTAATKAGGGAAACTGGAYCGGAAGCGGCCATTTTTGTCCCTGGTGTTTGCCAAAAATGTGTGGYGAAGCGAGGCTGAGCKCCAATCCTCCGCGCATGCGCAGAGGAGCTTGTAAGCCTTGTTGCCTTGCCCTCTAGGTGGCGCACGCTTCAAGCTGCTCAGGCTCTTCTGCGCATGCGTATCATTCCTTCTAATGAGGGAAAATGAGAGCCAATCCTCCGCGCATGCGCAGAGGAGCTTGTGAACCTTGTTTGCCTTCTCCTCCAGGTGGCGCACTCCTTAAGCCGCTCAGACTCCTCCGACATCCCTTCTCTCATTGGTAGAGCCACACGCGCATGCGTATCATCCCTTCTCGTGAGGGAAAGTGGAGCGGAAGCGGCTCCCCCGGCGGCCATTTTTGTCCCTGGCGTTTACCAGGAGTGTGTGTCCCATTTCCGTTTCCTGGGCGGACTTCCTGTAAGGCTGGCATTTAAAGCCCAGCTGTGTCTCCAGAAGGAGGAGGAGGATGCTGCTGAATGCTGAGGGAGGAAAAGGAATGCCAGGGAGGCTCCCAATCCTGACAACCCTCCACATTTGAATTAAATACATTGCTTCTATTTAATTCAAATGCATTACATAGATTTGTAATTATTATTATTACTGATTTTGATTGGCAATAGCCACTATTCCCTCATTATCCAGGGAAAGAAGCCATTGAGTCCAGTTGACGTTGCAATTATATTGATTTATATAATTATATTGATTATACTTTGCACCCTTGTACAATTATACTGATTTATTGTTACTATTATTATTGGTAATCTATATATTGACTTATATTGTCTTATTCAGAAAGGGGGCAATTGCTTTGCACCCCTTTGAAAATATAATTTATTGGTAATATCTGATATTATCAATTATCTAAGGGAAAGTGGCTGTTGTCAATTGATTTGCATTCTTTGAAACATTATTATCATGATTGAAAATAGTTGATATTCTCAGTTATCGAAGGGAAAAGTGGCTAGTGTCAATTGCTTTGCATTCTTTTAATTATTATTATTATTATTTTTATTATTGAGATGGATAGATAATTTGCAGAAGTAGAGAGACTTGCCAGCAAGGAAAGCAGTGGTGCATTTTCTTTAATAATATCTCTTTCTATCTATAATTAGGGAGGTAGAAAAGGCAGCAACCAATCAAGACAGTTGGTGGCATTTGATATATAGGATTATAAATAAATATATAAGATTATAGGCTATAGCTACTATTCTCTGTTATCCAGAAACAGTAGCTAGAGTCCATTGCTTTGCAAACATAGATAAATAGATAATTGCAAAAGTAGAGAAACTTGCCAGCAAGGAAAGCAGTGGTGGCATTTTTCTTTAATTATATCTATAATTAGGGAGGTAGAAAAGGTAGCAACCAATTAAAGCAGTTGGCGGTATTTTATATATAAGTCTCTCTCTCTCTCTCTCTCTATATATATATATATATATGAATATAATATCTATATATATATGAGGGCTATAGCTACTATTCTCTATTTTCCAGAAACAGTTGCTAGAATCCATTGCTTTGCAAATATAGATAAATAGATAATTGCAAAAGTAGAGAAACTTGCCAGTTGGTGGCATTTTCATTCATATATATAGAATATATAGAATATATATAGATATATAATTTTGGAGGTAGGGAAGGTAGCAACCAATCAAAGCAGTTAGTGGCATTTTCCTTTAAGATATAATAAACAGACAGATAGATAGATAAAGAAGCTCATAAGCAAGGCAGTAGTAGTATTTTCCAAGAAGACAAGTGTGCAACCCTTTTTGCAGGGAAGGTTGAGATCAAGGGAGCAGGTATATTTTCCGAGAAGTCAAACAAATAACCCTTTTAAACATAGATTGATAGATAGATAACGTAGAGAGCAAGGCAGTGGTGCCATATCCTAAGAAGAATAACAAGAAACTCTTTCAAAGAGAGATAAATAAGGAACTTAGAGGGCAAGGCAGTAGTGCCATTTTCTAAGAATAATAACAAGAAACCCTTTCAAAGAGAGATAAATAGGGAACTTAGAGGGCAAGGCAGAGGTGGCATTTCCTAACAAGACGAGCAAGGAAGTATTTCAAACATAGATCGATAAATAGGGAAGGTAGAGAGCAAGGTAGTGGTGTGGCAAATCCAAAGACGACCAACAAGAAACTCTTTTTTAGATAGGTAATTTAGAGGGTAAGGGAGCAGTGGCATTTCCTAAGAAGACGAGCAAGGAAGTCTTTAAACATAGATAGATAGGAAAGGCAGAAGACAAGGCATCCAGCCCAACCCACTTTTCACTTCCAAAACCCGGACGTTTCCAAAGAAGCACTGAAGCGCCTGCTTCACCTCTTGGTCCGATCGATCTGTGAGACTTCTTTTGGGGTGACAACAACAACACCACCATGTTCAGCTGGCTGGGTCACGATGACAAGCGGAGGAAGGACCCCGAAGTCTTCCAGACGGTGAGCGGTGGCCTCAAGAAGCTCTACAAGACCAAGCTGCTCCCGCTGGAGGAGTACTACAAGTTCCATGAGTTCCACTCTCCGGCTCTGGAAGATGCGGACTTTGACAACAAGCCCATGGTGCTCCTAGTGGGGCAGTACTCCACGGGGAAGACCACCTTCATCAGGTAAGGCCAGCCAACCCTTTATCAACCTGCATGAGAACTTGCACTACTGGGTTGTTGTAGGTTTTTTCGGGCTATATGGCCATGGTCTAGAGGCATTCTCTCCTGACGTTTTGCCTGCATCTATGGCAGGCATCCTCAGAGGTAGTGAGGTCTGTTGGAACTAGGAAAAAGGGTTTATATATCTGTGGAATGACCAGGGTGGGACAAAGGACTCTTGTCTGCTGGAGCTAGGTGTGAATGTTTCAACTGACCACCTTGATTAGCATATAATGGCCTGACAGTGCCTGGAGCAAACTTTTGTTGAGAGGTGGTTAGATGTCCTTGTTGGTTTCCTCTCTGTTGTTGTGTTGTTGTAATTTTAGAGTTTTTTAAATACTGGTAGCTAGATTTTGTTCATTTTCATGATTTCCTTCTTTCTGTTGAAACTGTCCACATGCTTCTTGTGGATTTCAATGGCTTCCCTGTGTAGTCTGACATGGTGGTTGTGAGAGTGGTCCAGCATTTCTGTGTTCTCCAATAATATGCTGTGTCCAGGCTGGTTCATCAGGTGCTCTGCTCTGGCTGACTTCTCTGGTTGAAGTAGTCTGCAGTGCCTTTCATGTTCCTTGATTCGTGTCTGGGCAATGCTGCTGCGTTTGGTGGTCCCTCTGTAGACTTGTCCACAGCTGCATGGTACACAGTAGACTCCTGCCGAGGTGAGAGGATCCCTCTTGTCCTTTGATGAACGGAGCATTTGTTGGATTTTCTTGGTGGGTCTGTAGATAGTTTGTGTGTTGTGTTTCCTCATCAGCTTCCCTATGCGGTCAGTGGTTCCATTGATGTCTGGCAAGAACACTTTTCCTCTGGATGGATCTTCATCTTTATTCTTGTGGCTTGTTCTCGGTCTTGCAGCTCTTCTGATGTCTGAGGTGCAGTATCTATCCATTGGCCTGGAGAGCTATATGCTAATCAAGGTGGTCAGTTGAAACATTCACACCTAGCTCCAACAGACAAGAGTCCTTTGTCCCATCCTGGTCATTCCACAGATATATAAACCCAATTTTCCTAGTTCCAACAGACCTCACTACCTCTGAGGATGCTTGCCATAGATACAGGCAAAAAATCAGGAGAGAATGCCTCTAGACCATGGCCATATAGCCCGAAAAAACCTACAACAACCCAGTGATTCCAGCTATGAAAGCCTTCGACAATACAATTTGCACTACATTTGTGTGTTTCTTTCAGGACAGAATAAAATACTTAGTTTGGTTTTGAAGACAGTGGGCTCAGGGTGCATCTACATCAGGAGTGGGCCAACTCCATCCCTGTCTCACCCCGTGATTTTAGTTTCTTAGGTTTAGTATTTTATTCTGTACATGTGGCCCGCTCACTGTCACAATCACTGTGTCATGATTGGTTTTAATGTTATACTATTCGCTGTATGTTTTATGTAATTTATCAATTTACTAGCTGTGCCCTGCCACGCGTAGTTGTGGCCTATAATAAGAATTTTTGAAGTAGAGGTAGATATCTGCACTATTATGAAAGGGAGGTACCTACCTATTCCTTTTTCTTCCCCTTCCCCTTTCTCTCTTTTCTCCCTTCTCTGCCTCTTTTTTCATTCCTTCTTTTGCTCTTTGGTTTCATCCTTCCTTCTCTCTTTCCTTACTTCCCTTCCCCTTTCTCTACTTCTTACTTTGTCTCCTTTCTTCTCTCCCTGTTTCCTTCCTCCTTTCACTTTTTCTTTCCTTTTCTCCTTCCTTCCTTCTTTACCTCTTTGCTGCTTTTCCTCTCCTTTTTCTTTCCTTTCTGGTTTGTATACTTCCTTTCTTCTGTAGCTCTTTCTTTCCTCCCTTCCTTCCCTCCTTCCTTCTTTCCTTCCCTCCTTCTGTCTTTCCTTCCTTCCCGCTTTCCCTCCTTCATTCCTTCCCCTTTTCCCTCCCTCCTTTCTTCTCTCCTTCCTTCCTGTCCTCCCACAATACTATGGTAGAGTCCCTTCTAATTTTATTCTAGGAGTCTATTTAGTATAGTAATATTTTGAATGTAAAGGTATTTTTGTGGGGTTTTTTCCCCAGTGATGGTCATTCCTTGGATTGTGAGGAGTTTTGCTGCCAAATTTGGGGTCATTTGGCCCAGTAGTTTTTTTGTTTTTAAGGTACTCATTACGCACAGAGCATTTTTATATATATAGATTGTGTGTGTTTTGATTTTAGTTATTGTATTGTGTTGATGGGCTTGGTGTCATGTTTGCCGCCCTGAGTCCCCATCGGGGAGATGGAGGTTGGATATAAACAAAGATTATTATTATTATTATTATAGTTGTTGTTATTACTAGCCGTCCCCTGCCATGCGTTGCTGTGGCCCACTCGGGCGGTCATGGGGGTTCTGTGTGTGGGAGGTTTGGCCCAATTCTATTGCTGGTGGGGTTCAGAATGCTCAGAATTGTAGGTGAACTATAAATCCCAGCAACTACAACTCCCAAATGTCAAGATTCTATTTTCCCCAAACTCCACCAGTGTTCACATTTGGGCAGATTGAGTATTCGTGTAGAGTTTGGTCCAGATCCATCATTGTTTGAGTCCACAGTGGTCTCTGGATGTAGGTGAACTACAACTCCCAAACTCAAGGTCAATGCCCACCAAACCCTTCCAGTATTTTCCATTGGTCATGGGAGAACTGTGTGCCAAGTTTGGTTCAATTCCATCATTGGTGGGGTTCAGAATGTTCTTTCATTGTAGGTGAACTATAAATCCCAGCAACTACAACTCCCAAATAACAAAATCAAACTTTTTTGAGTGAAGGACATACATTGGGTTGTTAGGTGTCTTGTGTCCAAATTTGGCGGCAGTTCATCCAGTGGTTTTTGAGTTCTGTTCATCCCACCAACGAACATTATATTTTTATTTATATTGTGTGTGTGTGTGTGTGTGTCTTGTAAGCTGGTCTGAGTCCCCTTTGGGGTGAGAAGGGTGGCATATAAATGTCGTAAATAAATAAATAAAACTCCCAAATGACAAGCATATAATGGGCAGCAATTTAATTTGCCAGTGTATAAGAACAACCAATTCCCAATAGTTTGCATTTACAAGGCTGATATTGGAAACTGCAAGGGGGAATTGTGGGAGTTGAAGTCCAAAAACACCTCCAGTGAGAGCTGAAGTTTGCCCATGCCGGGTTTACATTGTAGATTTTATTGCAATTTGACACCACTTTTAAGCTGTGGCTTAATACCAAAGAATCCTGGGAGTTGAACTCTGGCCTTGTGAAACTACAACTCCCATGTTCCATAGCATTGAATTAAAGGAGTGCCAAAATCCATCCATTCTGCAGTGTGGATGCACCCCCAGTCTTGCAAAAAAACCATATATGTCATTTTGCAGGGATTTCTCTTTTGCTGAGGCGGACCCCCTTAAATGCCTTTGGGGTGAGATGTCGATGCAAAAATCCACACATAAATCCACAAGGGAGTGGGAACGCATGGTCAAAACGTTGACATCAGCAGCAGTGGGTAATCATGATCAGTCACGGTGATTCAGTTTCTGGAGCAGAGAATGCCTTTGTGGGCTTGGCCCGGCATCGTGTGGGAAGAGCGTGTTGGGATGGCTGGAGAATATAATAATAAATAACAACAATAATAATAACATATGTGGCTCTGGGTGAACATGGGATTAGCATGACTCGACAGGCATGGTTGTGCATCACTTGTTGCAGGTCGTAAAGTGCTTGCAAATGGTTTTGGGGAAAGACGGACTCGGCTGGTGCCAATCAAGGTAGTCAGCAAACCACAGAATATAGGTTTCTTTTTCCAAGAGAGGAGTTTCAGGAATCCTGAGTGAGCATTTTCTCAGAAAATGAGAGGCGGCAGCGGCTGCGTAATTGAGTTGCATGTTCCTAATTGAAGGCTATTCCGAAGGTGGATCAGGGAGTGGGGAGACCTGAAGTAGGATACTCATTCCGGGTGCTTCGGGCCTTTCCAAAACTGGTCTCGTAATCATCCTGAGGAATCTTTTCTCCAGTGTAGATGCGCTAATAGCCCCCATGGATGTCTTCCCAGGTATGTTATGCCTCAAGTGGCACAATGGGATAAACTCTTGTGCCAGAAGGACTGAAGACCAATTGGTTGGAGGTTTGAATCTGGGGAGAGTGTAGGTGAGCTCCCTCTGTCAGCTCCAGCTCCCCATGTGGGGACATGAGAGAAGTCTCCCACAAGGATGGTAAAACATCGAAAACATCCAGGCAACCTCCCCTGGGCAACATCCTTGCAGATGGTCAGTTCTCTCCAACCAGAAGCGACTTGCAGTTTCTCAAGTGGCTCCTGGCACACGCTCTGTGTGTGTGTGTGTGTGTGTGTGTGTGTAATCATTTGTGGGATTAACATAACTTAAAAACCACTGGACGAATTGACAAGAAATTTGGACACTATACCCCTAACAGACCAATGAGTGACCATCACTCATAACCCCCCCCAAAAAAAAACAGCAGAAAGGACTCAAAAATCCCAAAAAGCGAAATGATAAAAAGCTAAATGAGAAAAAGCTAAATGACGATACAGAAAAGGAAGGAAGGAAAGGGGGGAGGGGAGAGAGAAGAAAGAGGTAGAGAAGGAAGAAGGAAAGAGAGAAGAGAGAAGGAAAAAAAAAAGGAAAGGAAGGAAAGAGGGAGGAAGAAAGAGAGAAGAAGAGAAAAAGGGAGGGGGAAGGAGAAGCGAAAAGTGAAGGAAGGAATGAAAGAGGTAGAGAAGGAAGAAAGGGGTAGAGAAAGAAGAAAGGAGAGAAGGAAAGAAAAAAAGGAAAGGAAGGAAAGAGGGAGTGAAGAAAGAAGAGAAAGACAGAGAGAAAAAGGGAGGGAGGAAAGGCAGAAGCAAAAAGCAAAGGAAGGAATGAAAGAGGTAGAGAAGGAAGAAAGGGGTAGAGAAAGAAGAAAGGAGAGAAGGAAAGAAAAAAAGGAAAGGAAGGAAAGAGGGAGTGAAGAAAGAAGAGAAAGACAGAGAGAAAAAGGGAGGGAGGAAAGGCAGAAGGAAG